TTGTTTGGTGGGTGGTGAGCAATTGCATTGTGCATCACTTGTTTTGTATAGTCTTTCTTTCTTTCTTTCTTTTTTTTTTTTTTTCTTTCCCCCCTTCCTTTATCTGTCCTATTAAACTGTCTTTATCTCAACCCGCAAATGTTACTCTTTTTTTTCCCCGATTCTCTCCCCCATCCCACTGGGGGTGGGAGTGAGCAAACAGCTGTGTGGCGTTTAGCTGCCTGCCCGGTTAGGCAGTCAGTAGCTAGCTGGTAGCTGGCTTTGAGGGGCTTCAAAGGACATGCTCTCCCTTGCTGTGTCATTAGTCTGTTTCTGTTGGTTTTATATCAACATTTGGTGCAAGGGAACTTTACAAGAAGTAATAATAAATATAATTGCAAAATGCCCATTGTTATATTTTTCATGACTGGATAGAACTGTTTTATTTTTGCCATGTGATTCATTTCAAGAGAGGATTATGCCAAGTTCTGCCTTATAATCATTGGAGATTCACCCCTGGGAAATGCTGCATCACAAACTTGGTAGGAAACACTCAGCCATTGCTTTCTCAGAATTCATCCAAAGAAAGTGCCTTTGACTGAAAGCAGAGTTAAGCACTTCCTTTTGAGAAAATGCCATATTTCTCCCCCTTTTTGTAAGGAGTCTAAGCCCTCTTTTAGTGTCTTAGAAAAGAATATAATATATTGAAATATGTTTTTTCTTCTTCCCTCTTAGGAAATTTCTCAGAGTTCTTCCTCTACCAAGTGAAAACTGGAATGCTTTAGTTGAAGAGTGGTGTTGTCATCCTAACCCCTTTGCCAGAAGCACTTTGCACCCTAAGCATGATGACTGTTTTCTTGGAGACACTTTTTTTCTGTTGAATTCAGGAAATGAATCACATGTGCCTGAATCTCCCATGTGCTGCTCAGAGACTGGACACCATGCTTCTCAGAGTGGCTCCAACTTGGTAAAGTATTTTGTTTGAATAATTCTTAAGTGAATGTATTTGGACTTTTTTCGTTGTAAAACATTTTTTTTGTCACTGGTTTATTTAAATTGTATGTATTACAGAGCTGTTTTGAAGGTCATAGGGAGTTGTTGACATTCAGTTGTACAGAAGCCAGAAAATATTCTAAGCTATGATTTACATTTTCTAAAGCATGCACCGTGGTCTTGAAATTGACCTATATATGCAAGAAGAACTTTTTCCTATAAACCAAATTAGAAACTCTTTAATTATGTAGTTCTAAACCCAAATATTTCCCCAAAAAAATATCCTGAATGAAGGACATCAACGTTTAGTAAGATAATAACTGTAATGGGTTAGGTGTTTTTCAAAGGGTAGTGGAGCGAAGAATGAGGAGGAAACTGGAGTAACAATGCTTTTTCTTCTCAAAATATGTCTGGATGCATAACCATAAATATGATCACAGGAAGGTGTGATTTTTTTTTTTCTTTCTTTCTTTTTTTAGCTTTAGAAAGACTTGGAAAAATCAGAATGTGTTTTGGGTTCAGATGTGGCTGTCTTACACTCTTAGAATATAGTAAGGAAATTGAGTTTGTCTGCTCTGTCTAGCGAGAGGGACCTGCCACCCCAGGTTATAACTCTTTATGTTGATGTTTCTGAGGTGTTCCAGGAGTGGATATATCCATCCGCTGAGTGTCTAGGAAGAAGGCTATCATTTGGCGTAGAAACATCAAAATTTGTTGTTGCCCAGGAAAAAAAACATTTGTAGGTATACTGATGTTTCAATGGTGGGACAAAACCCATGAAGAAAGAAAATTCAGTGCTTTACTCATCTTGGAAATCTAGCACTTGTGTAAAAGTTCAAGCAATAATCTTTTCTTCTACCAGAAGAACATCCAGGAACTTAGTTCACCAAAGCCTACATTTCCATAAAGCCTTTTCTGTTAATCTACTGCTTGTCTGTATTTGTGCTGACAAAAGTTGGTCCTGCAGATACCACCTTTTCTTCCAATACCATGTACTAAACCTAATTACTGAAATCCTTCTACAATTACGGGAACCGTTGCTGCCGTGGCAACTTGTGTCTGTAACAGCTGATGACTTGCTACGTACAGATTCCCAACATGAAACTTCTAATCTGTTGAGAAGTAACACCAAAGACCCTGATTCCTGGCTGCTGCTGCTCCTTATCATCATTAGGGATTTGTATTATCCCGAGTTAAATCACCAGGATTCTTGCAGTTCAACGGTTGCTGGCGCAGTGCACCCAAGCGAGCCATCTGCTTGTGGAACACTTCTGTCCTGTGGTCCATATCTGCAAGTCTTGCAGCTGCGGTCCCTTTGGTTTCTTGTTCCATTGTTCTTTGAAAAGCAGAATATGGGGAGGGGAAAATAAGAACTGATACCCTGAAAGGATATCAACGTGGGAGAAGCAGATTAATTTGGATTAACTCTGTGGCAATTTGAGTTACTTCTTCTAAGTATCCTTAAGAAGGAGGCTGAGCGGAAGATTCTGAATTTCCCAAAGGACAATGCTTTCTGCCAGAGGTCCCCAAAATGGATTATCTTACATTTCAGTAGTCTCAAAGGAGATCTTAGAACAATGGGAACAAAGACGGGAAGAGGCAGGGTGCATGGAGTTCATATTGCAGCCCAAAGACAGGGGAGCAGTCCACCCAACACACTTCTTCAATCAATCAGAGAGAGTGTTTGCCAGAAAAGGGTTGTTTTTGAGGCAGAAACATGATAAAAGGATGTGGGACAAAGATGTTACCGAGATGTGGGTCAAATCAGGATAACAGCAGAACTTTTGAATGAGGGAGGAGGCTATTTTTTGTCAGAGGCATACAATAGTAGTTTAGTGTGATGAATTTTCATGTTTGCTTCCTTAAACTTGCATTGAAGTTGAGAATTTTCCCTTGTTTGTATCAAATCCCTCATTATACATCTTTCACACTTGCAATGAATTCTCATTTCTGTGTTTGCTTATTTCCAGCATCACTCGCTTGCCAAGCAAATGAGCAAAACTGTAAGATCCAGCAGAAGCTGGACTAATAAGGAGAAAAACCCTCATACTGAAACAGAAAATTCTTCCATAATATGAGTAATAGAAAGTTACAGGCAAGATAGATTGCTATTGGCATAAATGTTCTCATTTCAGAGAATATTGTTGCAATCTGCCCTAGTATGAAAGTCCTTTTTTAATTGCATTGCAGTTCTTTGGAAAGTGTTTGCCTATGACCAAAATAGTAGCAGGAATGTACCAGAGATGCTTAAAACAATCTCTTCCAGCCTCCAGTGGGACCGAGACAGCATCCATCCATTGCAAACATATCTCTCACATCTATTAGTCTTCAAGCGTAACATAGTTTTTAAATGTCACATGGTCTTGCAGCATCCTAATAGTATCTCTTGAGGAAAATATTTTCCCTGACACCATATCAGGGATCCTTAGGAATAGAAACAGAAAATATTAGGCTGGTGATCCACCTCCACCTGCAGATTGCCAGCAGCTGCAAGTTGTCCAATAGATATACTGATTTAATTAGTCTAGCTAAAACTATCGCTTTTTCTGTTGAAGCATGATACAACAAGTCAGCGGTGTTTTTTAGGTGCCGTACTGCACAATTCTCAGCTAGCACCCGTAACTGTAGTCAGAAAAAAACATTCAAATTGTAGCTTTCAAGGAAGTACTGTATATTATATACTTGTACTGTGCAATATTTGTACCAACCTCAAATACTGGTTTTCACAACACCCTGTCTACTTGTCCTTGCTCTTCACATGAAGCAAGTAATTTTACTGTGTGTGTTTGAGAGGAGTAGCAAGGTAGGAATTGGGAAAGGGGATAACTGCGTACATATGAACCAGATGGTATTTTTGATCTCCATAACAAGAGGGCTGTATTTCCAACATAGTCAGCTCTCTGAAGCTTTAAGAGAGGCTGTCGGGCTCTCCCTGGGGCTTTTAGTTTGATTCCTGTTTTGTGAGGAACAAGCAGGACTTTGTGATCATAAGTTTAGATTCCATGTGGGACACTTTCTGTTTTTCATGGAGCTAGAGTGCTCCTTTCTGTTCATTTTATTATTTGCATAATACAGGTCAGAGAACTCTGTTAGGTATTTCCAGCATCAAATGCATCAGTTCTGTCTGAGCTATAGCTTTGAGAAAGACGTCCAGTATTGATTTAATACTGCAAATGATGGAAGCTTTATCATGTTCCTTGGTAAGCTGTTTCAGTGGTTAATCATCCTGACTATTTGCTGCTTTCTTAAATTAAGCATGCTAAGAATTGCAACTCTGTATCTCTTTTTACCTCTAAGGTGTATTTTTTTTCTAGAAATTATTTTTGTAGCAGTTTTCCAAACCATTTTCCAAATTTCTAATATACTTTATAGATCCATTTTTGCAGTAATCATCTCACTAATTCTGAAGTTGTTATATTTTTCTGTTTATCCGTATCAACTACTCAGTTGTTCATGCATTCAGAGATCATATCTCATTAGTAACTCTGGTTTGGTTCGCTACTATCATCTAAATTCTTTTGATAGTTGCTGTCTTCTACTATGTATTCCTTTATTTTATCATCACTGGGTTTGTTGTTCCTGTTGTTCCTGAATATATGACCTGGCATTTGTCTGTATTTTAATGCAGATTGTTAGACTAAGCACAACCTACTTAATGATCCAGACTGGTGTGTATAACTCCTCTATCTCCCTTGTTTACCCCTTCCCTATCATTGCAGCAGGAAGTAGTTAACACTTTTCCATAGAGCAACTGAAAAAATTGGCCCAGCCTGTCTGTTTGACTTGTCTATAATCTCTTTCTTCACCAGTCTCATCACAGACCACATGTCCTTCAAGGCACCTCAATTAGAATAAATCAATTAACAAAGCATTATTCAATTTTTGATTAGGATAATTGTGCTTGGAAATCTGCATAGTCTGAAAGTCCACAATCCAGGTTCTGAAGACAGCGTGTAATGGACATACCTCAAAACTTACCTTTGTAAGACAAAAAGTGTACCTGACATAGCTAGGGCCATTGGATGTACTTCACGTTGCTCTTTTTTATTTCTTTTTTTTTTTTCCTAATAATTTTGTGATGTGGTAGGCCACAGAGCACCACTTTTTGTTCTGGACATCAGTCTGACATATCATCATCATCCATTTTAAAATTTGAATACTAAGGAATATGGTAGTGGTGATGAAGAAAAACTATGCTCCCTGGAGAGCGCATGTGTGTTCACTTCAGTTGGAATCCATGGGAACTGTTGCCATCTTTTACAAAGGTTACAGAAAAAGATAAATTTGGAGTTTTTTCTCCTCAACTAGTTTAATTTATGCTAAATTTAGATATTATTTTTGTAGGCATGTGCTGCAATATGATTTCTCAAGTTGATAGTGACTTGTTTGGACTTACAAACCAAGCCAATAAAACAGCAGTTGTTTAATTACACATGGGTATTTTTATGTACTGTATACTAGATGAACAATTACAAAGGTGATTATACAAAGACCACATGTAAAAATCAATTTAGGTATCTTCTCGTTACATTCTCAGGATTTCTAGCTCCAGAAGGGTTTATTAACTCAGGAGCATCATTGTGGTTGTATATACGTACTGCTTCCAGACCAGAACTGTACTGTGCTACACCCAGGTTAATAAGCCCACACAGAACCAGTTCTGGAGTTTACACTTTGGATTAAAGTAGGAGTTGTGCTTACTTGTATCTTTGTACTGATACTGAATTTAAATATTAACACTGGAATTAGTAGGAGTGTTACTAGGGCAGATCACAGGTTCATCCAGAAAGGAGATCTTTTTCAATGGGCAGTAATGGTTGCATAAGAGTAAGGCAAGTATTGAGTGATGTTTTGGCCAGTGTAGAGGCTTCTTGAACTAGATATTGTTATCCACATTTTTTGTTTTTAATAAGCCCTTGATGAACATTGCTTCCCCTGAATTTCTGAAGACATTTTGAACTTATGTATACTTTTAATATGAAAAATACTTTCCTGTAGTGAGTACCAAACTATATTATGCATTCTGTGACAAATACCTTCCTTTTCTTTGATACAAACCAGGTTATAATTTCACAGCGTGAGCTCTGAGAGTAAATGTTTTCTTCCTCTTCAGCTTTTCCTAAACATTCGTGATTTTATATATCTCAGTGATACCCTCAGTTTTCTGCCTTTCATGCTTTCTCCCATTACGTGTGTTTTCTTGCCGCATATGGAAACTGTTTTGCACCTCTGACAATTATTCTTCATCAATACCTTTTCTGTTTCTGCTATGTTGTGTTCTTCAGCTGTTTCCTAGTAATTCGAAATACTCCGTGGACATTTTCTGCTCTCTGCTGAACGTTGAACTGGTATTCCTATAAAACTGTCCACAGTGGCTAGAAATTTTTACTGCGTGATAGTAGTCACATTGCAGCATAATATCTTATGTATATATTTTGGAATACTTCTTTTCATGTGCACTATTTTGCCCTTATCAGATTTGAATTTACCTTATCATTTTATCATCCAGTCACTCAATATTAGGAGATTCTCCTGTTAGGTATTACAGGTTGTGCTGTGTGGTCAGTATATATTGCCAGATTTTAAAACTAGTATGAAACTTGCAAGCAAGTCGAAGTGTAGAAAGCTGAAGTAGTGAATGCAAATCTGTGTGTATGTAAACATAAAGAGAACAGAAACAAGTACAAAGTTCACTGTCTACTCTGGAGAGTATGTTAAAATGATACATTCCTTTTTCAGAATAACTGAGTGACATTTAAATGACATTTCTTTGTCCTACAGAAATCAAAGGAAAATACCAGAGTAATTTGTAAGCGCTGCAAGACAATGCTTGGAGAAACAGTATCATCAGGTATGGGATGTACAAACCAAACTAGACTTCACTGCATCAGCCGTTGAGCGCTGGAAGTTAAAAACTCTGGAGGAAAGTAGTTTGTCACTAAGGTGCAGGGCTGATTCCTGTGTGTTTATCTCATTCCCTTCTGGAACAGATGAGGTTGTTGCTTCCACTGTTAGACCTTGAAAGTGACTTACGACAGGGATTTTCCTCATCTTTGTTTCTGTGGCGTATTTGGCTAATTCCAAAGCTTTGGAAGACTCAATGCATGGTTCCAGTTTACTAGGAATCCCAGTAAAAAAGGAGACCTGAGAAATTACAGGTTGTTTATTTTGCTGTGAGTCCTAGAGAATAATGGAAAGGTTAATTCAGAACTTGATCAACACAGAACTAGAAGCTAAAGATATGATTGCTAACATCCAGCCTGGTTTCATGGAAAAGAAGCCTTGTCAAAGAAATAGGTTATCTCTCATCATCCGATGATGAGATGATGAGATTATTGGTTTAAAAGCTGTCATTATATTGAATCAGCAGGGTTTACCTGAAGTAGTGTAAAGATGAGTCTCTGGTGGTTTTTAAAATGCAGTTATTAACAGGAGAGAAGCAGTGATAAGACTTTTACTAGCAGGGTTCATTCTTTTCATTCTCCCTCTACTCCACTGCATCAGTCAGCGTGAGCCTGGCTCAGTTCAGAGATCTGGAGAATATAAAAACTTCTCAGAAAATGCAAAGCCTGTTTAAGAAATAAGTCATGAGGAGACGCAAGACAGAAGGTCTTCTGTTACAGAAGGTTCCGATTGTCCTGTACAGGGATCTGAACAGTACAGGCTTTAATAAAACCAAATTTAAGGTAAGATGTTTGAAAGCCCACAAAGCAGGTTGTGACTTTGGGAAAGCAGTGGTTGGAAAAGAGCTTCAAAGATCATCATGAATAATGGATGCCTTAATCTAAGCCTTCGGACGATTGTAGCAACCAGTAATTGATGTGATCAGTGGCTATGGGAAAAGGCAGATACTGTGTAGATGTGCAGGGATTTGATCTGGACTCTGTACATGGCTGAAGTTAGATAGCGTGTCCATTGTTTTGACCACGTTTCTTCAGTACTGTAGGAAATTTACGTAGAGTTCAAAGAACAGACAAAAAAACCAACCAGAGATGGATGGTATAAGTCTGGACAGAACCATTTCTGTGAAAAGAGACTAGAGAGCAGACTTGACTGTCATGCTTTGGTGCTTCCTTATGAGCAGATATCAGTGCCTTGAAGATAAAGCTGGATTAGAGTGGTGTAGCTGTGGAGGCCAGGTTTGGCTTTGAAATTCCTCTGTCGGCTATTTCTTCCCCCAGCTCTATCCCTATATACTCCTGTGATTTTTTTCTTGGGAAATCCCACCTTCTATCTCTCTGCAAGCAAACGTCTCCTTAATTCCCAATGCCCTTGCAGCAGTAGCACCAATTCCTTACTCAGGGTAACAGCTGGGGAGCTAGAGGGACTGAACTGGCTTCTTTTCTTCCTGTCTCCCAGGACTAGGCACAGCGTGGAGCAGACTAAAATTAAACTTGGAGGTAAAATAAAATTTCATAACAGTGAGGATAATTAAAAACGTGTAGTACTTATCTGGAGAAGGGGTGGGATTACCAAGTCTTTGGAATCTTTAAAACAGATTGTCTTCCTGAAATGCTTGCTTTCATCCAGTTTTAATGGCGTGTGTGGACAGAGATCAGATGAGACAATCCCTTCCACCCTTAAAATTTATGGAACTGTTGAATCTTTACTGTTGTTCACATGCTAAGGCTTAGTGGAATGAATTTATTACTCTATATGCTTAACCTGTTCTGCTGGCCCTCTGGTTAGGCTGTGTTTGTAGCATAAACCCAGAGCTTCAATATGATCATCTTTGACCTGACTCTATTGATGGGGATTAAATTCTGTACTCAACCGCTATCATTCAGTGTTAAAGGCTGTCTTAGTGGAGCTTTTGGGGAACAGTTACATCGAAACTCAGAATGTATGCAGTATTAGTGTTGAGTTAGTGCAATTTTTGTAAATTCTATTCTGCTCTTTGAGCAAAGAAGAAAATTATTCCCCTGTGTGTGCTGTTATTAAAACTGTCTCTTGTGATTCACTGCAGCATTACTGAGCAGCAGAGGGTACTAAAATACTTATGTAAGCTATGCTGATCTCAGTGCTTTAGGAAAGTTCTTTCAATTCATCTTTCAGGTTTGGCTTGAGTTCTTGCTTGCGTTGTTTCAAGATGATTGTTCGCAGCGTTAAACAAGGATCAATATGAATGACAAATTGCTAATCATGTAATTAGCTCAGAGCGGTTTTCTTCTGGCAGTGCATGTTTTCTGTTATTGGTTGCTTCTCCTCCCACAAACCAAAGCAGAATTTGACCATCTGCTGCACCTCTTAATTGGGTGCTGAACAAAAGTTTAATTACTATAGTGATACGGTGACTTACAGTCTACTTGTAAGAAGTCGGTTGTTATGTTGTACTTGAAAAATGTTTTTGTCATTTTAGATACCATTAAATATTATGTCACCGAGGTGATTATTCGACCATCTGAGGGAAGTTTCAGCCCAACACCAAGGTAACAAATAAAAATAAAAAAAACAGATCATTTGCTCGGGTTTATGTTTTAGAAAGGATGCTAGAAATGCACTAACATTTTAGTTTCTTGAATAATTACATATAATAACAGGGTGCTCTCAAATTTTACGTAATCATCACAGAATTAAACATTGTAAAGGTAATGTAGTCTGAATTCACTCACGTACAATTTTGTTTGCTTGTCTTTGTGTGTGACGCAGGAGAGAGATTGTGTATAATTTGTCGCAGTGTCTCACTATTCAGGTGATAAGCCAGAATACAATACTTATTTATTTTGAACTATTTCAGTTTGCATGATGTCTGGTGACTAATTATGGAGATGGAAGGTTACATTATGTAAAGTTAAATTTAGTAAAGCTTGAAATGTTTAATTCAAAGTGAGATTTTTGACTTTTCAAGTAATTCAGTTTGAAGTTAAGAGATGAAACAGAACTTGATCTGCTTATCTTGTATCATGTACTATGCGTTAGTCACAGTTCTTTCCTTTTGTGAATTATATTTGAAATGTGCATCATTCTGAACTGTGTGTTCATATGTGTAAAATATAATAGGGAAAAGCTTTTATTCAGCATTTGACATGTGGTGTTGATCAAAATAAAGGATGTGGAGCAATTTAGACTGCTGATCTATTAAAAAATTCCTGTTGCAGGAAATAGAAAGTCCTCTGGTTTTGAGGGAGAGAAAGATAAAGAAGCCCCATCTCTCAATAAAAAGTGATTGTAGGATGTAGTGGAATTGACAGTATGGAGATACTCATATACTTGCACTGCATTGATATGAATGACTTTGCCCATGTAGTTGTTATGAAAACATATAATACGTGGTTAATTCTTAAACAGGCCTCAATTCGTACAGAGCATGGTTGCTCAGTGTCTTGTGGAATTGTCCTCTGCTAAAAGCACATTTAGATTCACTGTAAAAGGGGATAATGGAAAAACCTATATTCTGGTAAGTTGTTTTTTTTTAATCTTTATCCTGCTGAAAAAGTTTAACCTATGAATCCCAGCTCCTAAAATATATTATTTATGCTGTTCATGATTGTATGTTTAAAGAAGATGAACAAATTCAAATTCTTGGAGTAGTTTTGAAGAGTTCTGTTCAAGTAAGAAATTTCCCCCCATTTTTTTAATCTTTTCTCTAGAGAAATTTTCTCTATGAATATAGTAATGAAAGTACTACAGATGCACCACAAGTAGCACAGAAATAACCCTGTGTTTTGTATTCAGAAAATATGGAAAGCTTAAGTTTTGACTTTATAATATATATCTCATCTTCTTGCTCCAGTGCTTCTTATCTTTAATCACCAGAAGTTCATCAAATTGTATAGCATCTTTCACAAATATTGTCTTAAGTCAGCAGAGACTACTAATGTTGTCAGTACATTGCATTGCAAAGTGAAGTGCAAACAAAAATAAAATTGCCTGTTATACTTAATGTTCTAATGCTGTTAAACTTGGTTAAGCTTGATATTTAAATAGTGACAGCTAAATTCCTCAAACTTTTAAGATGGATAGGAATTTGGGTCTGGAATTATCTTAATACTGTACACTTGGTATAACCACGGATGTTTTCTTTTATTCGTGAACTAATTATAGGCACAGAATTCATAATTTTGCAGTTAGTATGAGTAATTCATATACACAAAGATAAAGAAATATGTGATTGTAGATTCCTGTCCTGGATAAACTTATAGATGCACTTTGTTGAAGTAGGCAATCTAATTAAATAAACTGTTTTATATATACGTTGTCCAAGTTCTATAATTTCCAAACATCCAGATTCTGAGGTAAGCATATATCTGTTGCTTTTAAATAAATTTTAGTGCCAAGATAACATTTATGCAACCACTGAGAAATACTTCTTCTGTGATGATAAAATAAGGTCTCATGAGCAGACCCATAATTGTCACTATGTAAAATCTAATTGAGGAGTCTTTAAAAATTGTTGTGATTTTTTTCCTTGTAGCTTATGTGTTTCCAAGTTACCTAATATTCTGATGCTTAAGTCTAGTAGCTTATATAGAATGAACTGCTTATTTTCTAACAGAAGAACCACCTTATTTAGCAGATTGCCATTACTCTTAGCTCTGAGTTGCATTTTTGCCAATGTATTGATTAGAGCAGCAGGCTGAATTAGCATAGGGGCTGGCTTCTGATTGGCATCCCTTCTTTTTTATTAGTGAGTTATTAGTATTTTTTTGTGTTAAACATCAGAGAGCTCTTACTCCTGTCCAGGGTGAGGTTCTAGGTAGTGTATACACACCAACAGGTGTTCTGGAGTCATGGGTTAAGTCTTAGGACTCAGAGGCCTTGTGGACACAAGCGTAATATAAGCACTGTTTATATTAATGATTGCAAACAGCTAAACAGTAAAAAATGTAGGTGCTTGAGGCTGTGAGTACACAGCCAAGTTAGACAAGTGGTCCCACCACTGATGCATCATGGACCAGCTGTCCCACTTGTTTATTTTGACAATGAGCCAAAGATTCTCATTCACAGTGTTTGTGCTTACATACGTGAATGCACACAGCTTAGGCTGTGTATGTGATAATTAAGCTTAAGGTCTCTCACAAGTCTTTTTAATTTTTTTTTTAAACCACAAATATTATATACACTCATTTTCCTTATTTCCTCCGCATGTATCACTTAACATTACCAGTTATGTTATTTGTGGATATCATAATAGGAGTTTCTGTTGTTTAAGTTGGTGATAACCAAGTTCCTGAAAGCTATATACTACTTATGTGGTGTTTTTTTTTAAAGGATGACAATAAATAAAAGTCTCTCTGTCTCAGGAAAAAAAAAGTGGCGTATACAGATTTCCTTATTTATCCTAACTATATCTCTGCCCTCTTCACATTCTCTAAAAGATTAATCACTTGCCTCCTCTCTTTGCTCCACTATTGAAGGGTTCCTTGCCTTGAAGTTGCATGACTAAGCTAAGAATAAGATGAGGACAGCAAATGGCTAGTGAGATAGGAGAACACAAGCAAAACAGTACATTATTTGTCAGCATGGCAGCATCTTAAGAGATGTCATTTTTTTCTGTACTATAAAAAAGGATAGGTTTGAAAGAGGTAAACAAGTAGCTTTGTGGATAGATACAGGGAATTCATCCCGTGGATGGGATCAACCTGATAAAACCCAAAAAGATACATCTGTGAAAATGAAAAGGTGTGTGGTAGAGTTTGGAGTGTTTGAATACTAACTCCAGTCTTTCAGTACTGAATGAAGGATTAGGCTGTAAAGTGCTTTGAAAGTAAGGCAGCTTGTATTTCAGGAGTGAGTGGAGAGGGAGTGGGAAGATATCCAAGAAAATCAGTATGTAACAAAATGGGAGAGACCTGTCAATTAAATACTGATTCTGGGATCATGTCTTGGAGGGCATGAGCAGAACAAGTTTGCATTTGTCAAGGCTGGAGAAGGTGACGTTGCAGTGATCAAGATGTGAGATAACGAGTACCTTGTTGAGACTTAGCTACCCAGCTCTCTTAGAGAGCTTTATTCTTTGTGAAGTATGAGGAAACCACATCTTTACCTGAACAGTCTGAATGTGAGGACAAAGAAGCTGTAATGAAAGATGTTTGCATTACTGACCTGTGTGATGACAAAAGTAATGGTAATGTCTACAATAACGAAGAAAGAACTAGCAAGGAAGAACCACGGCTTTTTTTTAGCTACGTTAAATTTGTATTAATGCCTAACTGTTCACAAATTGATGCTGGAGACACAGGTTGAGATTTTAGGAAACTGATCACAGAATGTAAATCATAGTATTTCATCTGTTTGGATCAAGTCCACGAAGTGTAACTGAGATTTGTTGCAGCTTTTCTCCTAAGAACATCTTTGAAGCCTATTGACAAGGTGATTTAAAAACAAAACAAAACAAAACACAATGAGAAAACCACCAACAAAAAACCAAACACTTTCCTCTGATGCTGTCACTTCAGAAAAGTTCATCAATCTGCACTATAAATGAATTCTAAACTTTTTATATATATTTTATGTATTTATTTCTGCAAGTTGCAGAAGGATTCTGAAAGGAGGAGACGGCTATTGCTGCATTGTTCCCTAGACTAGTTTGAAGGATATTCCACGTCTGAAAAGAATCCCAGGAGGCTCCTTCACAGGGAAGTGTTAATCATTTCAGAAGGAAGGAACTCTTAGTTAAAGCTAAGTGTGTTGGCAGTGGCCTGTGTATATAGGACACTTCTCTTTTTTCCCCATTTTCTCCAACATCTCTTCAACGCTTGGCTTAAAGCACCGTGTGTAATGGTCCGAGCTAATGAGGTATATTTTGCAGTTTAGGCTATGAATGTGTACACTGAGTTACCAGAGCAAAACTGATGAACAGCCACTTGCTAAGCCAAGTGCAGTTGCTTGTCATCATTTATGTGCATATGCTAAAGTGATTCTCCTCCTCCCATCCCCTCCCAAGACATCTTTATCAATATATCTCATTCCTCCTTTATGAAGCTTCCACTGTAATGTTCTGAGGCTTGGGCTCAGATAAATTGTGACTGTCACATTCAGTTATGACATATACTATGTGTCCTGTTAACGGTGGCTTTCTCCCTCCACAGGGGATGTCATATGTCTGCTACCTAACATCATGTAACTTGTTTTACTTGAAGCTGATTAGGTCACGAGAAGCAGAAGATTACTCTCTAGTGAGCAGCACTGCATAAATCCTGTTTTCTATGATAAATTTTCATATATAAACATTTCATACAGGCTCAGGACTTGTAAAAATTGATTTCCATTGGTAACTTGGATCACTTCGCTACTGCAGGCTGCGAATAAAGGAAAAGCTTGACTTTTTTGTACAGTGCTTAGCGTGAAAGCCCTGAATCCAAGTTGGAATATTAATGCACAATCACACAAAGGTTAAATAAGATCCATAATGTGGTGCAAAAAGTTCAGATTTCTCAAAACTCTCCCCGGTAAATATCCCATGAATTGCTGTGAGCAAGTAGTGCTGAAGAATGCCAGTCCTATTATCAAATTTGATAAAGATTTGTTTTCCAAGTGAGGGTCTGTTACAGCCATTTGTAAATCCCAGCCTTCCTTTTAGACCACATTAACTGTTATCTTTTTCCTTGCATGTCTTAGCTCCATCCAGTCATAAGTATCATGCTTTTTCTAAAAATCCTTAGTTTTTGGCACTTCCGGTGGGAAGTCTGTCTTTAGACAGGGAAGTTCCCTGTCTTTAGCCCTCAGTTGTTTAACACCATATGCTCGACTAATTCCTAAAAAACTATGAAATTAGAGACACAATCCATTTGGTACTGAAACAGATGACTTGGGACTGTTTCTTTTGTTACAATCAAAGGGAATGTGCTGCAGCCACAAAGAGAGGCAGCTTCACAGAAATAAGAGCCACTCTTAAGAGTGACTGTGATAAATCAGGCATCGGTTTATTGTATTAACCTGTTTTTCTCCACTAGAGGCTGTGCAGACAGTGCTGAATAATAAAATGTCAATTTATGTCTGTTAACACTTTGTTAGAAACTTTAAGAATGTGGCTTTAGTATCAGCTGATTTAGGATCAGAGTAAAGGAACAAATTGAAATTGATGTCATCTACAGTAAAATAAATTGTTTCTTCATTTATAGATATGGCTTTTAAATTCTGACACATTGCTGGTGGAGTCTTTAGGAAGTTCCTCCTCCCACAGTGTTTTTACACTGTTTGGAGATATTTTCATGCCTAGCTCTGGACCAGTGAGGACCTGGAATGCTGTCAAAGTCCTTTACCAGCCGTGCATTAAAAGCAGGAATAAGGAGTAAGTACAGCCTTTTCTGACCTCAGGTTCTGATCTTTTGTTTGTTTTGCATTTCAGGGCAGCAATATTTCTTTGAGGTTCTTTGGACAGGCCATTGATCTCAGAGATGTATCTCTTTGAAATTGCGTACAATTTTTAATTTTTTTTTTTTTTTAAGCAAAATGCCAGAGGAATAGTATTTGGTTTCTGTTAACAGCCACAGAAAATCTGGTTGTTAAATTTTTGCACCATAATATTAAGAAGTAGACCAAAGAGTAATGTTGTTTCTAGGGGCACGTGTAGATAACTTAGGTATATGACACAAATAGAAGTTGTCTCTGTTATACAGGAGTAATGTGCTTTTTCATTTATGCATTTTTTGCCCATGTTAACTCAGTGTACTTTTAGAGCTTGGTCATTTGTCCGGCTCTGTTGGCAGAAGCTGGAAGGATGATGGTGCCGTGAATCCCATGGGGGGTCAGTGAGTTCTGTCCGTATGGTCTCAGAACATGCTGCTCTGCAGCCATAGTTCCAGGTGATGTAATTCAGGGAGGAGGAAAAATTGAGGGGACATAAGGAGCACGGACTGACTCCTGAATGATGCATAAGTTTAGCCAGATCTCCCTCTTAGCCTTCAATTTCTGTTTTTTGCATGAAAATCTGATCTCATCTGTCAGGTTATTTATGGGAGTAACCCTCTCTGCACTCCCACAGTAAAGAATTTGGACCTCTGGTACAGCTGAAACCAAGAGGGTAGAGGTGGGTAGTTACTAGTTTAGCAAATTATACCTGCCTGTTTCAGCTTCAGTCTTGACCTTTTTTGCCTTAAAATTATGCTTTGTTTTGCAAGAGGAAGAGCTGTTCACAGGACTGGAATTTGTCTGTTTAAGCCAAGTTATCTTCAGTACTACAGGTGTTGTCTGGTGGGTCGCAATAAATTAGCGTAATGATCATCTCTGTATACACGGACAATGCATCTAACAGTGTCCCTGTTAAAAGATACTTGTGCATGTAGCCTAGCAGAATAATATGAATAATGCTATATCAGTATAGCATACTCTCAGCATATAGCATATCCTCAAAAGGGAAAGTCCTTTCTAGATAACGATTCAGAAGTTCCTCGAGTTATCTAATTAGCCTCTCTGTGTTTAACTTTAACTTGCTTTCAGCCCAGTGGTGGCATTATTTCAAAAAGAAATGGGGCCCTGAGAGAAGGGGAAAGAGAAGAGGCAAGGAAGGTGGTTGAGTAGAATGCCATATAAATGTTTTTCTTGGATGTGTCGAAGTCTACTGGAGCTCTCATAAAGGAAACATTTGATTTCAGCAAGCTTTGAAGTCTACATTATGAAAAACATACACTGCCTAACTTGTTAAAGCCTTTATCTGTTGGAGAGCAAAGATAAGAGAATATTGATTAAGCAGTGGCTCCAGTGTTTGCAGGTGATGGAGTATGATTTTAGCATAATTTTCTGCTTTTGTTTCTGCAGTGATAGAAGAGAAAGCAATGGTTTTGTATAGGTCACACTTAAATAGTGGTTTGGTTTTATTGTTTTTCCTTTAAACTCTTGGAAACTAGATGACAGATTTAAAGAGGTTTGGATGTATTTAAAATTTAGAAGACATTCCCTCCAGACTCAGTCAGTACACAACTAATTTATAGCCCAAGACCTCATAGAACTTCAACAAAAATGTTGTCTCACACAGACAAGCAAACATGTGCGTATGAATTTAAATATTTTTGTAGGAGAAATATACACCTTACTGGAATGTGTGATTCATCATAGTGTTTATCCTGAATGTTGCCAAGTGTATCCTTTTCATTTTTCAAACAGATACTATATTGAATAGATGAAATAAACTCTGACATAGGGAGAGAATGGAAAATTCTAATATTTAGAGAAAAGGTCATACTACATTATTAATGTTATTCATGTAAGAGAAAAAATTACCTTTATTAATGTAGTAGCTTCAGAAGTTGGCACTGGAAAACCTCTGTGATCTAAATGTTATCTAGTGATCCAAAATACATCTTAAAGTATCATCATTTAAACTGCTTATTCTTAGAATGGGAGATATTGCAAGAACCACAACCTGCTCTAAAATAAAGGAAGCTTCACTTACCACTCTTAAGTCTTACAGAAGTGTTTTGCTTTTCAAGTTTCAGTTCTTTATCACTGAGAAGATTTAATTACCTTAACACACATTCAGTTACTGTGACATGTTATTGAGATAAAAGTCATATCTACTTAGTCACTTACCTAGCATTCACAAATGCTTTTCTTGAATGGAGTTCTCAGCAGCAGAATTTTACTGTGAGATTATATTCAGTTCTTTCTATTTCCCCGGACAGACTTGTTACAAATCACTTGTTTCTGAAGATTACTTTGTATTTATCTTTGGGATTTTGCAGTAAGCAGAAGGCACAACTGAGGTTTTAATTCTCCTCTGACAGTAATTGACATCTTCCCTGTCTAGTCCCTGGACAAATGCAAAAACGGAAGAGAAAGAACAGAGTTTTCTTTTTAAGGTTCAGAAACTAAAGTAACTATTTGTTTAGTATTGTTTTCCTATTTTTATATTTATAGTAAAGAACAGTAAAAAGGACATTAGCACTTCAGTCTGTTTCCACTAACTCATTTATCAGGTGGCTTGAAGTACCGCCTGGATCTGTGCAATAAGATTGAAGTCCTTCTGTATTGAACAGGAATGTAAACACAGCAGAAGCAAAAATATCAAAACCAGTACAACTTATTTAATGCAATGTGTTTGCATTTAGATCTCAAATATTATTTCAAGAATTCTGAACAAAGTGTCTGATTTCTTGAATAGTGCAAGTTCCAAAGGTTTTAGATGCCCACATTCCGATAATTTTAATACGTACCTTGCTTGTTTCTGTACACACACCTGCCTTTGAAATAATGCAAAGGTTTCAGAGCCCGTGGTCTGCTCCCCGTGAGTGGGGAGTAAGCAAGGATACCTCCTGTGTAGGAAGCAGTCAGCAGGAGGCCTGCTTGTGACCTAGACCCCAACAGTTGCAAGGGATAATATCCTGTTGCATGTCAGAGAGCCTCTTCAGTTGTTGTGAGTCACTAGGTACGCTTGGGTCGTGTCCGATTCCTGCAGTGCCAGAATCTGATCTATGCGATGGGAGAGGAAGCACCTTTCTTACCTGGGGACACTGCAGAATCTGTGCTGGGTAGCTGGGCCATAGGTTAAGAAAGATTAAGGTAAACTAGAAATAAAAGCATTTATTTGTAATATCTAAATATAATAACATAATCACACATTGTAAAACATGGGTGAAGAAACGAAAGAAAATCTGTACTTTGTCTACTTACACAAGCATAAATCTACTTACTCTGAGATAAATACATGGTTCCATGATAGCAGTCGAGGTCTCGGGCTTTGTGAAATTCTCCCCTGGCAAGCTGTCTCTGCTAGGGAGAACCTAACTGGGATTGCCTAATAATTCACATTCAGGCACCCCCTTTTTGAAGTAACCCTTAGGTTCAGACTCCTTGGGACATACTTGAATATTTCTCTTGGGGGGAGTGTAGTAGCTTTTATACATGATCTTTCTTTTCAAGACTTCTAGGATGTCAGGAGAAATTTATGGTCTCGCTCCAAAACTCATTTTATTCCTTCTTTATTCAGAGCACAGTTTTGCAATTCTTCATAATTAACATAATGCTTATTTCTCTTCCTCAGAGTGAACAACACTGTGCTTCAGTGAGCAGCAGAACTCTCTTTCCTCCAGTAAATCACTGGCATATCTATCACTGTACCTTACATTCAGTATTACTCTAAATGTTAACAATGCAAAGGAAACAAACATTTGAGTAGGATAAATGTTCATGGTTCATTACTGGCTGCTGAGTGATACCAGCCGCAATGATAATTAACCCATTTGGAGCGATAGCTGTTTGGGGTTGGCTGATCCTGAAGCCTGCTGTAACAAAATTGTGTTCTGAGTTAGGCTGAATGTTGCTGAGAAGGTGATTACCTCTTGTGTGGCGTCTACCTTTTTATTGACAACATGATGATTCATGTTCAATTTGTTGATCTGTGTTGACCATCAGATCCTTTCCAGTAGGTTGCAGTCTAATACGCAGCCTTCCTCTCTGTTTTTGTGCAGTTGTCCTTTGTCAAATTACATCCTAATTTTGTTCAGAACCTTTTTCCCTGTTGGCCATGGCCATTTTGATTTCCAACATGTGGCGTACTGATGGCCCTTCCCAGCTTCATGTCATCTGTGAATGAAAGAAGCATCTCTCTTGTTCCAGCTTCTGGGAGAGAGACTGAGATATGGAATAGGACCAAACTAAGAACACGTCATGTGGAGCCTCTCTCCATATACCTTTGTTTTGGCAATGAATTATTAACAGTTGTGCTCTGAGTGTTAGACTGTGTTGCTTAAGAACGTTCAGTAGCTTTTAAGGCATTGTGAAGTTAAGACATGGTTAGGTATATCCAGACATGCTATTTATAGCGTAGCTCTTGGCATTCCTCCTTGCAGAGCCCTATTCTTCTGAACTTCGTGAGGGTAGCCTTTAAGTGTTGTATTGATTTGTATCTTACTCCTTCAGCTGTTACACAGGGCTAGAAACACTTAGATGTGTCTTATGTGTGATAGCATGAGTTCTGGGTAGGTCTGTCTACAGTTAGGCTTCCAGCCCTTGCGGGAGCTTTATGAGCAATCCTTCTACAACAAATCAGTTGAAATTATATGCTGTCATTTCTTCTTGTCACCTTTGAAAAAATTATGTTATGAGTGTAGTTGAGTCCCATTAGAGAAGGATGCCTTGTGCATTTTCTGCTCCGTTCTTACTTAGATATTTATGGATGATGTGTATGTGGTTATGTTGGTTCCCTCCACTTTTCTCTCAGCAAGGCTCCTTTTCTCCACCTACAAATCTGCTGTGCAGACAGAAGAGGTCTTCCTTTCAAGTAACAGGTTCTTGGCAAATAACACCTTATGCAAACAACTTTGACTGCTGGGAGTGATAAAGGTAAATACTGCT